GGAAAGTCCTACATTTTAAAAGATGCGACATTTTCCAACTTACAATATCTGCGAGATTAATTATCTGATTGTAGATCCGAGTAATTTCTTGGAAGATCACAGAAGACACAACCATCTTTGGCCATGGAGATGAGAAGCTGTTAATGAGCTTCATCAAGTGACTAGAGCCCAAATCTGTCAAATGGAATACACATTACTGATGATGCAATCTAATCTACTCATTGCAAAACCTCAGCACCATACCAAACCACATGCCAGGCTGTACACTCAGCCAGCTGCTCAAGGGAAAAATTAAGATTGGGAAACATAAATCTACCTGATTTTCGAAGCTCTTGGCTGCAACATGAACAGCTTAAAACTAATGATGTTAAAAAGGTTTTAAACCTACTTATGAGCTAAGGCCAAACAAGTGAACAAATGTTTAGTGCACATGACAGTATTGGACATCACTTGTGCGAATGTGACAGTATGTTAACCTTCATAAAAGGGTTAAGGGGAGCAACTAATGGGGGGGGGGGGGGGTTAAGGTGAAAAGTATCACTTTCTGCCAAAAATCCTACACAGAGCTACTACATCTGGTAACACTCTGATGAAATTTTACCCTTATATTCACTATATCTGCCGAGATACAGCCTGAAATACAACCCCTACTCTCTGTATTTTTTTCATTTTGTACTATCAATCTCGTATAAAACAACACATATTTTGATGAAATACTTGAAAATATAGTGGTTCTGAGCAACCTACGCTCCTGCCTGGCTGCACAATAGCTGGAATGACACACCAGTGAGACTCTGCTCTTGGAAGAGAGAGGGTGCATTCTAGCCAGCATACCCAGACACACAAGGACTGTTCCAAAATGCCTAGGAGGAAGAGGTAACTTTCCGCTGCAAGACACAAGAGGAAAGAAAAAGAAAGCAAGTGGAAAAAAGAAGAAATGAGGCTTGAGGACAAAGCTGTAGTGCCTACTGTGGATCTCTTATGCATCAGTTCGTGGTTTTGACTTTTCATAATATTTTCCTCTCAATACAATCAATAATAACAATTTTTTCCCTCCAAACCAGCCACTCCCCTTGACCGTTTTGCTCTGGATGGCTTAACCCCTTCACGAGTGTAGAGTTTTTTTTTTTTTGTTTTATTCACCCGTCACCATTGGGTTAAAAGACATGTGCAGCTTGTGTACAAGGCACTCACCCGCAAGTGGTAACTTTCAATGTATCGTCTCTCTCTCTCTCTCTCTCTCTCTCTCTCCCCCATCGCTGGTGGAGGGGTAAGGGCTGAAGTAAAGGATAGGGGGATATGGACGACAAGGGTAGGACCACAGAGGGGGAAACAATGACATAGACTCTGCCAATGATAGTTGCTCATTTTGAGTAGAGGGTGGGGCATAGTCAAGCTGATTTACATGATTGTTGGGAAGAGGGATGGTGGGTGGAGCAATAGAATTTCTAGGGTAATATATGAATACAGGAATCATTCAACAGCAACTAAAATGGAATCATAATGCCAATATTGGTGTCACAGTAAACTCCACTGGGCTTCATGACGCCGAAAACTAGCGTCGCCATATAAAAAGCTGTTAAATAGCTTGTAGACACAAAATGATAAATCATAAAGTGAATCCAATATCAAAGTATTATAAATTCAAATACAAGCGAGGAGTGTTCTTCTATTGTAGGTTGAGTTGCTTTCACTTGGTGCTAAATAGGTGAGAGTTTGACTGTTATTATACTTATCCCTATATTTACCTGTCTGTGGCTCCACCTAATTCTGTGCATACCTTTGACTTGAAGAAGAAATTCTGTGCTAAAGAGTGCAATTGACTTTGGTAATGGGCTGACTGGCAGTAGAAATGTTTTCTCATATTTCCATAAGACCTCCAAGAGTACTGATACAAGATCCTGGGAAAAGACAGCTTGTGTTAGTTATCAGCAAGGCTTAAATTGCAGATTAATAATTAATAACCAGTGCGGACATATTAACGCACTGGTGCAGGGATAGCACGCATGTACATGTCATGTCCACTGTGATTTGATTCAGTAATTGCCTTCACAAATACTCATTCAGCAATGAGTCAATTACTAGTACTACCTATCTTACCTGTTTGATCTTTTCCTTGATTTTTGGAAATATTTCCTTTTCTTTCATGATGCTATTAATGTTATTAACATTATAACAACAATAACATCTACACTAATAACAACAGCATCAATATTGATAGCATAAGTATAAACGCATTTTTGCAGAAAACTCTTGGAAAGCTGAAATCAAGTGAGGGCACGAACTCTACTAATTGACTGAGCACTTGTGGAGGCAGCTAAGTGTAGAATCATTTCACAAACAATACTTCAGTGACTACTAATATCCACAGCAGCATTGGTTTCCTTTCTTTTTGGCCTTAACCCAATGCTGACGGACATGACGTGTATGTACATGCTATGCGAGTTACTTGTTTGATTGTTTTTACACATAGATGGCTATACTTGTATGACACCAATGAGCCAATTATGAGGACTGACTGGCTCGCCCGTTTACCCTTTTCTTTGATTTACAAAAATATTTTACGTTATATTACTGTTACTAATGTTTATAACATTATAGTAATTATAATGTTTATAATAAAAATAACACCATCGATATTCATAGCACTAGTAAAAAATACAGTTTTCCCACCAATTCAAATCAGGTAAGGTCACAAAGTCTACTAATTGACTCCTTTGTGGCTAAGCACTAGCAGAGCCATCTATGTGCAGAAACATTTCATAAAAATCATACAAAATGAGCACAGCATTTTCCCTATTTTTCAATGCACTTCCCCTGGCGGCACTGGGTTAATATTTCAACTAAGGGATCTGCAAATTATCATTCAGATTAAATTTCAATGGCATACCTATTTCTTTAACGCACAGCATTAATCAATGAATGCTGTTTTATATTTCTTTGCCAACTCTAGTGTGTATTTTATTACCAAATAATCTTTCTTTCCTTAAAAAAGAAAGAATTTATGATATTTAGCAATCTGAACTCAATAATATCAAATCTATACTCACTGCAACACACTGTCTCACAGCTGGGTCAGCTGACTGCACAGCAACCCATATTTGCAACAGGTGTTTCACTGGACTTGTTGTTAAAGTAGGCTGTGTCAGCTGGCCCAAGAAGATTTTCCAGCTGAGAAGATGATTGATCGCTTCCCTGGAAGTATTAAAGATAAATGAAATATATCCACTTACTGAGATACACAAAACTATGAATGATAAAATTTTCTGTTGAAGGGATGCTGGAGTTTACTAGAAAATTGTGTGCAATTGTACGTTGAGGAGAGAATCGTATCCTTCTACATCAGAACTCTATTGCCAAAATGGTGATCTAATAAAAAGAAATGAATGAATGAATGAGTAAATAAGTAAAAAGTAACTTTATGACCCAGCATCTCAATAAGTCAATGAATCAAATATATCAGAGATATCTGGCACAAGATTTGTATGTGGCCTGTTTTGCACAACTTATAAGCATGCTCTGTTGCTGAGTCTGGGTATAGATATAGATACAGATATAGATATAGATATAGATATAGATATAGATATGGGTATATGCATGAGTATAGTTTGAGAATAGGTGAGGGCATGAGTATGAGTACAGGTGGGGGGTATATAGGTATAGAGGTGTGTGTGTGTGTGTGTGTGTGTGTGTGTGTGTGTGTGTGTGTGTGTGTGTGTGTGTGTGTGTGTGTGTGTGTGTGTGTGTGTGTGTGTGTGTGCGTGGGTGCGTGCGTGCGTGCGTGCGTGCGTGCGTGCGTGTATGTGTGTGTGTGTGTGTGTGTGCATGTGTGTGTACGTGTGTACATGTGTGTGTACTTGTGTGTGGGCGTGCATGTGCATGTGGGTGTGCATGCATATACATGTATGTATGTGAAAGTACATCAGTGTGCATCATTTTTCACTTACAAAAACAGCATCCGAAACCTTACCTCTTATTCCAGTGTTTCATGTCTTCCCTGAGGACTAAGACAATAAACCTCAACAGACTCAATGCATTTTCCCTTATGATGGTGGTGTCTTCTGCATCTGTATCTGTGTTGTAATCTTCCTCATCAATGTCACTCAGGGAGCATTCTATCACATGGTGAATAAACCTCCAGGCCTGAAGGCTTACACCCTCTTGAGTCTGTACACATGAAAAGTTCTCCATAAATGAGGCAGTTATTTACCCTATACACATTACAACTGATTCTTTAACCCAATGGTACTGGGGATAGCATGTAGTCTACATACCAGCCATGCCCACTGTGAACTTAGTTTATTAATTATATTTACACAAAGATGGCTCCTAGTCACCAAGGAGTCAATAATTAATCCTACCGTTCATGCCTGCTTACTCCTTTTCTTGGTTTTTGAAAATATATTTTATTTTATATTGGTATTAGTACTGCTAATAACATAGCATCAATAATAACAGCATTAATTTTAATAGCATAAAGAAAGAACAACAACAACAACAACAAGAAAGTTTATAGGTATACTAATTGACTCTTTGGTGGTCATCTATGTGTAAATACAATACAGGGAACAGTACTACAGTAAACACAACTTAATCCCAGTGGCAGAGGGTTAAAAAGTGAAAAAAAGGATGAGCAGTTCGAATGAAAACAGTCAATGGAACTTGGCACACAAAATACACATAAACCATTTGTCCTAATCAGGGATGGATTTAGACAAGGCAAGACTCTAAGCAAAGTTTGGAGTCTTCTTGTAAAGGGAAAATAAGGTTCTTATAAAACTTCAAAACAAAAATTAGCTTCTATTCATTAGCATAAACAAAGAAACAAAACATTCAGAGATCCTGTAAAATTTGAGGCATTAAGTTTTAGCTTCTCTAGCTAATGTGTAAATCTAGCACTATGATATAGTTATCCTTATATATTCTGTCAACCTCTCTTGCCAAGTCACACAGACACACACAGACACACAGATACACAGACACAGACACACACACACACACACAAAATTAATAACAACATTCAATAACTAAATCAAATTAAGTCCTCAATTCATGAAGATCATCTTGAACATATTCTAAATTACAGGCTACCAAATGCAAATGCATACACTACCTGTAGTGCCGCTGCAAACACTTCATAATAGTAGGTTCGCCAGCGGGAACTTTTTGGTGGGTGTAAGGAGAGGATCTTGTGTGCCATGTTCAAGGCATAAGAACTGACGATGGTGAACCTGGTCTGTAAAATGAATCCCAATTTCATTATTTACAAGTTGTTGCAATAAAGCTATGGATTAAATCTTCCGATGTAAAAAAAATATATAAAAATTGCAAATCCATCATTATCCTTAAATAACAAGTAAATACTCTTCATATAAACCCTGTCTGCTTCCTCACCTCTAAGATCAATCGCCTCAGAAGGTCCCCAAACAGACTACTGGGAGGATAAGTATACGGTGTTACACTTAGGTCCAGTGAGTCCATACCCGTTACAATGATTGACTGTTCTCCGGCGGCAAACATCTGGATGCCTCGCACATCTTCATCAATGCTCGACTCGAAGTATGAGACCTCCTCGACACTCAGTTCTCGCACTTCGGGGGACGCATGCACGTCACTTTCCTGGTTTGACAACTCTGCACTCTGGAAGTTCTTTGGGATGCTTTGCTCTTTGCTCATTTCACTGTCAATTACAACAATGTCACTGCTATAGATGCCACTTACCCTTTTACTCTTTCTTATAAATCTTCCAATAGATCTTTTCACTTCCTCATTATCTATTTTCATTTGCCTTGAGGTTTCTTTTATTTTTTCTTTCACAGGCAGATTGCAAGCTGCACTCTGTTCAATTGTGTTCACTGGTGCTGTTGCTGGGCTTAACCACTCATCTATTCTTGGACCAATATTAACAGATACTTTTTTCAGTAAGCACTGCGCATCCAACATTTTCGTGGAAGAGCTTTCTTCTATTAACTCGTTTTGTACAGTTGAAGAAACATCTGCTCTTGTAATGTCTGTGGCAGTTCTAAATACTTCCTTGGATAGGTTTTTATCTTCTTTTACTCCCTTTAAAATTGTTGCACTGTCTCTTTTCAGTTCATCAGCATCTATTGTATCATCTATTGGTAAATCACTAGAATCAACCCTATTTTCCTTATCAATACTACATGAAACTGTCATTTCATTTCCTAAACATACTACTTCATTTGAAATGTCTACTGAGACTACTGATTCTTCATGTGATGTTCCTGTTAAATCTATAGTACATGGATGTACACACTCGTTGCCAGCCTCTTGCATTCTGTTACTGCTTAACATGTTTCCTGTACCACTCCTTGAGGTTTCTCCAATAACTTCAATATCGTTATCATTCCCATCCTCAGTTACACGTATTTCCCCATTTCTTGCACTTCTCACCTCCAAGTTTGATTCCTTCTTTATGAAATACTTGACGATAGAAGGCTGCTGCTTCTCTGGGGTAACCTGACAAAACTGGTACCTGCGTTTCCGGCTCGAAGAAGGTGTCCTTCTGACTGGAGAACAGGCTTGAGGTAATTTGCCGGGTGACTCAATCCTGACATACTGGTCAAGTCTTGGTTGTTGGTAAGTTACGCCAAATACATTCTGCAAGAAATTGATATAACTTATAAACACCCACTTCCATTTCTATTCTTCTATTATATCTATTTCCTATTATATCCAAGCCTCCTTTACAGCTGTCTTCTGTTTGGTACATACCTTTTTGTAAGTGTTCATCTGCATCTCACTAAGCAGCTTCTTGGGCTGGATGTCTCCATTTCTTATTTGGGGCCTGGCTTTAAGGATAAAAAAAGGCTTGTTAATAAGAATACCCCATAAAATTCTCTGTATAATCATAAAAACAATATACTTCAATTTCACAACAAAAACTCAAAAGCAAAGAATAAATCAGGCTACATAAATCACTTACTGAGATCAACTTTTCTTGCCAACTGTGCATTGCCACAAGCATCTAGAAGGTATGGTCTCAAGTCTGAGGGTGAAACTCCCTGTGAGATGTAAATAAGTAGTTAAAGTAAAAATTAAAAACTTTTTTTTTGTGTGTGCCTAGTGGTTTTATATAAATACCAAGGCACAAAAGAATTAAAATAAGTAATCAATGAGATTTAACTAGCAATAAATTTAGAAATGCATTTTTTTTTGTTCTGTTAGTACAAATCATAAAATATCTTAACAAATGTCAATGTAAATCTACAATTAAAAAAACTCTACCTCCAACAATAAGACTCTAACGGGAAAACATCACGAAGAGGTGAGTCTAGTACCCTAAAATATCCAGCGGACTGGGAATAAACAAAATAACCCGCTTTGTTACATACCCTGATGATTGTGTCCTTAATGTAAGTTTTGCACACGATGGGGATGTTGGGCCCAACTGTCTCACGAATGGAGGCTGCCATGTTCTTCTCTGTGATTATGAAGTCGGACTGCGAGATCTCTTTCAACGAAATGATCTCGGCCCCTCCAGCAGCGGTAACCCTGTGAAGTGAATTTTTTTGTTTTGTATTTTTCTGTGCTGCATAATTAGTTATTTAGAGATAAACCAACTGCACAAACAAATAAACAAAATCAGAATATAAGAATTTAAAAAATCATAATATTTACTAAATTTTTTGGGTTGTTTTTCTATGATGCATAATTAGGTATCTGTATATGAATCAACCGCACAAACAAATAAACAAAACCAGAATATAAAACTAAAATAATCATAATAATAATAATAAAAACCTGGGGAGAGTGATGGCAATGTCTAAAAAAAAAGAAGAAGAAGAAGAAGAAGAAGAAGAAGAAGAAGAAGAAGAAAGAAAGAGTTCAGGAAAGTTCGAGCACAAACCTTCGAAATGATTTGGTCAAGGTGTTGTTTTCCAGCTTGACATAAACCTTCCATCCAGAGTAAAGGACGATGTTACTGTCATTCCTCTTCTGCCTGCACTCGACAAATTCCTTGATCTCGTACTGGCTTTCCTCGAGCCATTTGCCCTGGCGGTGACTGTCCAGGATGAACTCGGGTTGCACAAGCCATTTTCCTGAAATGATCATTGTGCATGTCCTTTATTTTTTATGGCTTGATTTCCCATTCTTGTTTATAGCATGAGATATATGTCTTTTGGTGGTACAGCCAATACCAGCAGGAAAATGTAGTGTTAACTTTATCATAATGTTATCAACATTAGTAATGGTAATGAATTACCGGGTGTCACATATACGTGACATGCCCACAGTGAGTTTACTTTTTTAATTGTTTTTACACATAGATGGCTACACTTGTACTTGTACTGCCTGTCTCGCCCGTTTACCCTTTTCGCTAATTTACAAAAATATATTACGTTATCTTATTTTGCTGTTACTAATGTTCATAGCATTATAGTAATTATACTGTTTATAATAAAAATAACCATCGATATTCATAGCACTAGTAAAAATACATTTTGCCGCCAATTCAAGTAAAGGTGAAATCAGGTAAGGCAGAGCCATCTAGTGTAGTGATATTTCACAAAAAAACATAAAAAATGAGCACAGCATTTTCCCCATTTTTTTGTTCATTCTTACCAGGTGCGAATGGGTTAAAGAGAATATTTCCGAAAATTAAGAAAAAGGATAAATAGTTGAGATAGGTAGTACTAGCAACTGACTCCTTGACAACTAAATATTTGTAGAGCCACCTACGTGTAAAGATAATTAATAAACTAAACTGTATATACCATCCCCAGTGGCAATGGACTATAGCCACAAATGTGAATCTTAAAAATTTACTTGGGGGGGGGGGGGGACAAACTATGCTTAATTGACATAACCATATTATCTAAAACACTTCCTTAATGCACCCATTGATCATGTAAAACTATCTATCTATCTAAACCAGGGGTTCTCAAAGTGGTTGATATAGACCCCCAGGAGTCGATGGGACCATCCATGGGATCAATGAATACCCAGGGGGTTGAAAGGGAGTCGATGAATGATCATGGGGTTAGTGAATGTTTACTGGGGGTTAAAGCGAGCAATTCAAGTCTCCAATTTTAGATTCTTAGATTCTTGTTAGAATTTCTTTTTTTTATTGCATCAATTCCTTAAATTCAGACAACTGATCAAAATTCCACTAAATCTTCAGAAATTTCAGAAGCTCTGGCAACACGACCTTCAACCATTCTCTCTTGCAGCTCCACTGTCCATACAGGATATATTCCTGTCTGCATCCTGTACTGAGCAAGAGAACATATCCCCCCCCACCCTATCCCCATCTCCCGCATATTGAAGAGCTAGTAGTTCAGTACACTACCAGCTCTCACTGTTGTTTGTGAATTGATTATTGTTGAAAATTCTGTGTAATTCACATTATGGATGCATTTTCCTTTTAATCATATTGTATTTCAATTACTACTACTATTATTACTACTCATTTTAGTTTTATCCATGTTGGTCTTTTTCTCTCCATGAATTTAAAGCAAGGGGGTCAATAAAAAATTTGAAACTCCTTTGGGGGTTGACATGATAAAAAGTTAGAGAGCCAATGAACTAAACTTCCACGTGGGCCAAAAGGATATTTCTGCTAATCTCAAAACCATCATTCATCAACCACTTACTTGCCAGTGAATTAAAAACTCTTTCTGACTATCTATCACTTTATCAAAGCTATTTTTCTAACAGGAAATCAGTATATCCTTGTCAATCAAAAGCAGACTGATTCTACTCCTAACACTCTTTCCGTTTCATCCTCTACATGACAACCCATGAATTCCCTTCTACCTCCACAAACCTGAACCAGCTCTCACGCACTTTCAGTCAACCTCTCAAACCATCTTATCACATCCTTATCGCTGAAGATGATATCCGTAGCTACACGACTGTCTGCTGAGAGGAATATTTCCTTCTACCCCGTCAGTCCCTCGCCGTTTCACTCACCTGACGCTAGGCCCCCGAGCACCTTCTCCGTCATGTTGAACTCCTTGACAAGAACATGGGTGCA